TTGAAATAGCATCTGCGCTTGAACTAACAATTTAGAAATGGACAGCTTCTAAGTTATATATAATATATTTGGACGTTCCAAATATTCGCAAAAAAGTTGAACATTTTTAAAAGAGTTCCTCAATATCTCTTACATCTCAAACGAATTAACTTCACCTTTTACGCAATAAAATTAATAGATAAAGTAATCACACTACAAGTATTAAAAGTGAAAAACATGCGACGAATTCAAAAAAAAAGTTCTTATTTAAAAACCAAAGAAAAAATGCTAGTAAATAATGCTAAAGAGTAAACAAACTTTTTTCAGGGCGAATTGCATGAAATGACTAAATATAGAAAAAATGTGAAACAAATTTGATTTTCTTCGAAAGACTGACAAACAAATGTTTCCATCAGATGTGTAAAGAGGGATTAATAAATGAAGGAAGTTTCTAACAAAAAAACTAACACAAGCCTATTGTACAACATCATTACCTGTCAATAACAATCATTTCCTTTTCTGTTAATCTCCGATTTTTTCTTTTTATTCTACTTCGTTTATAAAAAAGATCTATTTTTTCCTTATGTTATTCGCACTTTTTCCACTGTCAACAAAAACAAGAGAATGATTATTTGTCTTACTTACTATGTCATTAAAAGAAAACCGTCACAAAATAAACATTGAACGATTTCGTCAGAAAAATGGGATTAAAACAAGAAAAGCAAAAAAGCATGAAGAAAATTCAGAAAAACGCTTCAAACAGATAAAATATGTTAAACAATATCCTAATGATTTAAGTAAACTTATTTAATTTAGTAAATTTTATAAACCTCACTCTTAACGTCTGCTGCTCGGAAATGCACTGTTCTTCATCGCTGAGAAATATTTCAATCAAAATTTCACAAAACTTTTGATTTTCTCCCCAGTAATTTTCACTTTACTAAAGCAAAAAGTCCTTCGATTTTTTAAAAAAATAATTATCTGGGAAACATTTATGCTCCTTATTTGCTATGATTTTTTAATGACGACAATTAATAAAACAAGAGAAAAATGTAACTGGAATGGAGTTTCTTTTGTACTTTAAAAAAATGGATTGTAATTTTGCAGATATTTCTGAAAAGCAGAAGAAAGTGTTCACGGCTATAAATAAGCTGCTTTTCCAACTCATGCAATAACTCCTGCACTATTTGTTAATGTAAAAGTTAAAAGCGAACAAATGAAATGAGAGAAGAACCAAGAGAGAATTCCTTGCACCACTACAGCCGTCATCATCCATTCTATCGACCGTGTGCACACTACCAATCACACAACTCACAATCACGCTTTCAATAAAAAATCATAATTTTACGAGTGAAACGCTTTTCTCCAACAACTGCATTCTTCTGTCCTTCGTACCGCCACTCAAATCTAAAATCACTATGAATTTACTCATAAATGTACCAGCGAAAACTAATATGTATCTCAAAATGTTACACATACTTCTGATATAAATCTATATTTTCATCATCGTCGTTATTGTGGTATCAGAGCATATATAATATTTTTGATTCACATTTATTTATAATACCTGTCACTGGTATCACAAATTAAAATTACTTTTTTGAAGGTAATTCAAAAAGTTTTTCATGTAGTGAAGAGTATTAACTAACAATCGCTTCTGCAAGCTAAGAATTCCAAAGATATTGTAAAATACGACAGAAATATGATGAATAATATATGCAAATAAGGAGAAGGGTGGAATCCATTTCGTAACAGAAAAAGTCAGTAGCGACCGATTTCTCTTTTTATCCTAACATATAACATCGTCTGCATCCTCTCTACATCTGCATCCCAAGACTTGATTGAATTAGTATTATCGCTTTGTGATAGCTGAAGAATTTATACAACTCAACTTATTTTAATTATAAAATACCAAATTTTAATCATTTGAATGAATTTCATCGTTTTTTTCTTTTTTATCTTACTGGTTCAATCAAGTCTTGGTGATACGTTGTCGATTTTTCCACCAATCCCGAGCATATGCTTGCGATAAGCTAATAAATCACCCAACAAAACATATAACATGAAAAAGCCTGATGCAGAGATATATCTCTGTTCAATTTAATAAATTAAGTTCTAAAAGTAACTTTCCAATACATCTTTCATACGGTTTAAAGGATGTTCTTCTGAGAACATATAGAAATCTATGTTTGTAAAACTACTACAACTGCATAACACTTTATAAAATTTATATTTAAGAAAAAATAAACAATCTCGGAAACCTCGGAAAATCCTCGAAAACCGAATGACTTTTTTTTCGAAAGTCAATGCTAAGAAGGAGTAAAAAAATATCCCTCACAATTCTTTTATAATTATCCTTAACAACTAAGCTATTTCTGTCCTTAATTTTTGATTATCCTTCACAATGTGCAACTATTTTAATTCGCAATGTATAGTTAAAAAAAATAAACTAACAATTCAATTTGAAAATCCAATCTGGAGATATTATTCAAATCCAAGAAAGGTCTTATCACCTCGGCAAATCGTAGCAAGACCCACCCAAATTTCATCAAAAATCACGCAAAGACACGTCAACACGGAGCAGTATAGTGCTACAGTAATCCGACAAGAGTTCCAAAAACATATATTGATGTAAGCGCTGGTATCTTTTCATACTTCTTCCAACCTACACTCTTAGATTGTCTCTGCGAACAGATGCTTGTTGGCTTTGCAAGTGATCTGTCCGATGTGTTACTATTATTTCGCACACACTACACACACAGCACCTACTGAATTTTTTTCCAACTTTATGCATGTATTAGCTGTCCTCCTCGGCTTCTTCGAAAATTTCAATTTCAATTAAAATTTTTTGGCTGTAATTTATATTCGCATAGCATCATCATCCCCAGTATGCGTCCTGACCTTACAAGACGGAATTATTACTATCACACTTGCTCGTCTGTTGAACCGCTGTATGGGCTCATTAAATTTCAGAAGAGAATTCCTCTAAAATAAAATTCTTCTGTCTATTATCGACATAAGCATATATTTTCAAATGTGACAACTCTTCGATTTTGCTATAAAGTAGATTTATTCTGTAGTTGATGGAAATGAGAAAAAAAACAAATAAAAGGAAGGATTTTGTTTGCTGCTTTGCTAATATGTGCAGTATAGTTTTCAACGTCGTAAATATTTAGTGGCGAAATCATTATCCATTTCCATCCATTATCTTTTTGGCCGTTTTATTGACAAAACCTTTTTTGTTGCCAAAAAACACTGGCGATAATCCCTAGAAAATTCAAAAGACACACGCTTGAAATTAATTCATAACTTAAACTTTATAGAAATAACAAAATTTTATTGGCAGCATTTGCATTGAGTCAATCCTGAATTCTTCAATATAAGACAATTGTGGAATGATACACATCATCTCGCATACTGTCATTGTTTATAGATCGTTACTCGATATCACAACAAGAAAGAAAAACAAGTCAACGAAAGAATGAGAAGGATTAGTGTCAACACAAAATACTAGTAAATTACTTAAATTGGGCTGAAAATTAAATAGTAATCAATAATTTCGATTTAATCGTTGAAAGTCTGCACTACCTCTCATAGGGTCGAGTATTGCATAAGAGAAAAGGTAAAGTTAAGTTTTAATTGCTCAAAATAATCAGTAGTGATCGAGGCATATCTGGAATTGTTATTTTCGTATCTGGAATTGTTGTTCAGCCGCTACAAGAGTTCGAAGATTAGATGATATTTGAAATGAATCAAAACTCATTGCTCTTCAGTAAATTCTTAGCAAAAGCCTAGACAAAGTGTCAGGAAACAAATTTCAGGAACAATTGTCACAATGGTCAAAAATTGCTCTTTCATGTTGAGATTTTCCACCCCGCTTCCTTCAAAAAGATTCCGAAATGAGATATTAATTATATTAATTGTTAGGGAAAAATCAAATAAACTTTCAAATGTTTGTAAAAAAAAGGTAATGGAACCCTATGATGAAAAATTTTCTATTCAAAAACGTGTTAAACAGTTATATAAGTTTTTATTTTGAGGTTTGAGAATTCTACTTCGTTCAATATTTATTGAAATATTCCAACAATCAATAATATTTTTCTATGGATCAGTGCATTTATGTGAATGATAATTCTTTGAAGCAAAACTGTGATTACTTAAAACATGAACATGTAAACACGAAACAGTTCCATGTAATGGCTCAGTAAAGTCTTTCTAAATCAGATATGTCATAAATACAGTATCAAATGGTATATCTCATAACTGAATGTATTAAAAATATTAACGACAAAAGCTGCGAGAGACAATTCTTATAAACAACTTTAAAATAAAGCAATTTCGAAAATGTTAATCGTTTAAACTACTAATATGATAATTATTGCATTATGCCGTGCATGTGCTACCGATCAATCAAATACTATAATATGCTATAACCGATAGCCTATTTAAATCGATCCCAACAATAATATTTATACTATGATCAGAATTACCGATAGTCCCTAGCTATTAAAGAAATTAAATGCTGCTAATATTAATTACCTCTAGATAATTTCATACATACCAAATATATAAAATGTATAAGCAATGATTTTTATCAACAGAGAGATAATCTTTAAGCCATAGACCTGAGAGATTAATAAGATTTGAAAAATAGCAGTGATAAAAGATTTTTGGGGAAAGATGACCCGAAAAGAGAGCATTGATTAAAACACCGTGAATGGCATAAAAATTTACGTGCAAGGTTGACGTTTGAATTGCTAAAATGAGTAATTTCATACTTCTTGGTGGCTTTTTTGTCTTTGTTTAAATATCATATGGGAGGTTTAATTGTTCTAAAAATGTACTTATGCACATAGCAATCGTTGATTTCCATCGTTAAATATGTAATGACTTTTATTCATTTTCATTTCATTTCAATTTTTTAAACAAAAAATAAATAATTATTTTTTAAATTCATTGTTGCATCCCTTCTTGCACTTCAACTTATTGAATATTTAAGAATTTTTTCTGAATCAGTGGTTATGGCACGACGTCCATTTGTTTATTGGGCACAGAACGAAAGATTACTTTTCCTAACGATTGATTTGAAAGATTCATCGGTTGGATTATTTCTTCTTTCTTTTACCTTATTGTAGAGAGTTCCGTATAATTAATCCATTTTTCAAATACCAGTGCTAGATCAATCATTCTGAATTAGTAGCTATGGCACGATTAAAAAGGAAAAGATTTGTGGTACTGATTACTGATTTAAAGCGCATATAGAGAGTGGAGTGCAAAAAATCTCCAAGTTATTTTTTGTGTCATTTAAAATATGCTGATGAATATCTGGATGACGCCCTCCTTTGGACTACAAATTTACTGCAATTTATAATTTGAAGAAAACTATAATGAAGAGGAATCTGATCTTGAAGTGCTAATAAATAGACTCATAATAAGTTATTGATTAGTTGGAACTACTTAGGACTTCTGTGTTTATATCCTAGAGGGTTTATTTACAAAATTATTTGCAGGATGCCTGTTATGCTATAACAGGCAAAACATTCGAGTTTCGTGCTACTGGAGTTGGTGCACACGGTCGATGTGAATATTCTTTTCAATTGCCGTTATTTTCAGAAGTAGAGATGGAAAAGGTATTCTTTATAATGAGATTTTATATTAAATTATTGTTGTTTCCTGTATACATTGCGTTGTTAAGTTATTGTTATCTTATTTAAATTTGAAGAAGTATTACTAGCTGCAGTTTGGTGACTTTCTAACAACAATTTTATTTGCAATTTTCAGGTTGGTCAGGAAGGTGGAAGCAAATTGTTTTATGTTTTAAAGAAGAAGGATGCCATGTGGTGGCCTACTGTGCTGGAAGATGGTGGCCGGTATTCTTGGCTTCGAGTATGCAAACTTTAGATTTATATATTTTTGTGTATTATTTTATGCCCATATAAATTATGTTTTGTATTTTTATATGGAATGCAAAAGTTAAGCAGTTGAAAATGTGATTCCAGGTTTCAATTTTGAGTATAGAAGGAAAGTTAGCTTTTTCATTTTCCAGTTCAGAGAAAATTCTGAAGTGATTTCAAAAGAAGCAAGAAAAAATGGAAAATGTGCTTCTTAGTGATTGCCTACTTACTTTACTGAGTGCTAATGAGAATTTTTTAAAGATCGATTTTGACCGATTCGAAGATCCAGACGAAAGTGAAACAGAAGATTATGAAATGATAAATATGAATGCTGTTTGTTTTTTTCTTCATTGTGAAGTGTTGATAAATTAATTTTTTTAGTTCTTACTAATTCATAAGCTTTATGTTTTTATTGCAATTTCAAACATTTATAGCGCACACCGGAAGCGGAGATGGATGCCATAACACAGCGTATTTTCAACGAATGCCGCACTAAGTCAAAAACAGGGAAGGAATTTATCAGTGAAGGTTGCAATTTTTGCTAAATTGAATTTTAGTTTTACCATCAGTGACTTAAAAGGATATTATTTTTTATTACTACTTTTCGGTTTTTTCAGTTAAACTTCTCTGAATCTTATTTCAGTAAAACAATTTGCCAAAAAATGTAACCACTTGGTAACTCAGTATCTTTTTGCATACAACCTATCATTATTTGTACTTCATGCATATATACTATTTACTTTGCTCTTCAAATTCTTCTCTAATGGAAATGGTGAGCTTATTTCGCTGTTTATATTTATTAGTTCTCATTGCTAAAGAAGGGCATAGATAGCGATAGAAGCACGTATCATGTTTTCCTAGGTAATTTAGATGAATTATTTTTAGTGGCAGCACAAAGGTATTCAATAAATGTTTAGACAGAATTACTATAATGATTTTTCCTTATCATTAAATGTGTAATCAAATTTTACAGAAATCTTTTTCAGAATATTACAACTCATTTTGGCAAGATAATGCCAACATGATAAAAATTGCAACAGCTCTACAGCTAATTGACGTTGCACATGCACTAATCGGTTTCACAAAAGGTAGTTATCGAGTCGGGCTTATGCAGGTTGGAACATGCTTTGCATTTATTACTAATATTCTTTCAGTCTAACTGGTGTTGAAATTGCAATAAATAAAGCAAAAGAGGCTTGTTAGTAGTATTATCATTATCAGAGTGAAAACTTTTTATATGCTAGTTACCGATATTTTTTCCCGTATCTGATTCTTAATGTATATTTTTGATTTCTGATAGGTTTGTGGACGTTTAGCATTCCTATATATTATTGATGGCTGTCCAGATGTACAAAATTCATTGACTACTTTTATTTTGATAATTGCTTACTTTTCGATAGAAATTTTTCGGTGAGTCTTTTTTCTAAAAAAATTCCAAAAAAAATTCTAGGAAATAGTGAGTTAAATATTCAATATTCCAATTCTTTACTTACTGATTCCCAAAATTTTCCTAATTTTTTAAAATTGCAAAGAAAGAAATCCTACCTTATTATATACCTGTACCATAAGAGACAGTGCTGCTGCAACATTTGATATATGAAAGGAATGACAATTCTATGCAGGTTAGTATCGATTGCATGATAGATAATAATGCTTGTTGTAGTGAATTTTTGGCTCCATGTTTGCTCATCTATTTTTTGATCTTAATAGAAAAACAAATTTTTGATTTAACTGGACGGTGTGTACTTTTAGATATCCATACTATGCAGTCAGCAGTTTGAAAATTGAAATTTCGTTACTTACGTGGTTACGGTACAGTGCGTGGATGTTGCTTTATCCAATTGGCTTATTTCTTGAAGGTTCTCATTCATTTGTCATAAGCTTGTAAACAGTTCCGTACTTTCACTGTTATTCCCACATTACTGATTGGAATACTGACATTGATCAGTTTATACTATTTCCGGTCCCACTTTATAAAACAGGGAGACACAAAGTTTTTCAAGAGCTACTGCTTGTTTATTTTTATCCTTCATAAGACACTCTCATAATATATAGTTACAGATGTCACAGGTGAAAGCATTTGATTTTCTTTGCTTATGATAAGAGATCCAGCATATAGCCGCAGAATATATGGTGACATAAAATGGCCTATATTTTTTAAACTTTTTTCGTAATTAATTTTCTAGAAGTTATAACACGTTTTAATTTTTACATCTCCATATTTATTATATCAGATCACAGAGGTAAAGAACGATTTGTAGGTAGTTTAAACTTCAATTTGCATGTTTTGAAATATTAAAAAGTTTTTTTTCTCACGTCAAAAAAGGTCTAGTAAAATTCATTAGTTTTTCAGGGGTAACCATGTATCGGTCTATTCCTTATTATTATCGAACTGAAAAATACAGTGTTAAACTACCTAATATTGCAAATATTGGTTTCAATTTCGGTTTTATTCTTGGAATCTTTTTCCTTTTCATATTCCCTTATGGTACGTTTTCTCATGCGTGAACTTCAGCAGATAGAGCCTACCAACCATTAAAGATTAATAGGCCCTATCTGCTGAAGTAGTATAAATTGAAGATTAAAAGGTTTATTTTCTAGGAAATACGAACAATCTTGGCTTACATTGTTGTTAATGATAATGTAATTCAAAGTTCTGATAAGCTTGAATCTGTTATAAATTTTTATTGATTAGTCAATTATTTGTTAATTTTTTCTTCAGTGGTTCAGGTTGCTATTATTTCCGAACACAGTTTTCATTTTTTTGTATTCGTACTTGATGGACGTAGACAAGAACGCATTTATTTTATTATCTGATCTTTTTACAACACCAATATTATAAAAATTAGAAGCATATTTATGCACGCAGTAGTTCATTACCAATTTGTAAAAGATTCTATCTCCTCATCTGGAAATTTTGTTCGATCCAATTTGAATTTCATTTCAAAATAAGCCTGGGATACTTTGTCTGTGGTACTGTTTCAAAAGTTTCTGCTGTTTATATGACATTAATTAAATTTTAACTTTTACAGTGGCAGCACATTTATTGGGGCATATGTGGTTACAGCGATGCAAAAAATATAAAGGTCTGGTCAAAAAGCTGGCTTAAGAAAGATCGATGATTTATTGGATTAATCGAATTGCATGATATTTCGCATGGTGCGGGTTATTATGGGGTCCTGCATTTAGTTTCTTCACTGATTTGGGAAATTTTTTTCATGTGGAATATATTTTATGTTTAGAGTCACAGATTCAAAGAAAAAATTTTCTGCTTTTTGTATTCGAAAATTTTTCATATTTAAAACATAATCATTTTTTAAATAACTATATTTTCGAAAATATCATTTTGCTACAAATGGTATTTTTTCGTTTATTTTCCAAAACTTCTTTGATAGGAATACACTTGATTAGCTAGTAGGAAAAATAGTCTGTAGTTTTTGTGTAAAATAATCTTTTTGATGATTAGGTAACTGTTTTATTAATTGATAGTTCTTTCTCTTCTCACATTGTAATGAAGACAAAAAGGTGTATAGTTTTGCATTTGATGGTATGTAATTCTGATCGCACATTTATTGTTTATTTGCTGAACGGTCTTTGCCTTGTTCGATATTTTATATAATTGTCGGAAACCCGAAATAACTTTATATTATAAAATTAATTACACAATTAAAGTATTGTTGTATTATTGATATTTATGAAATTGTTTAATCGAGGATATGATATGCCTTTCCAAGAATACTGTCATTATTATGAGATAATTTACGATCCTTTATTTATCATTAATTTCCTCTAATAGATTATCAGTTGTTTATTTTATCATAAGCAGTGCCCACTGAGCACCGCCAAACTCAAAAAGAATCCCAAAAAAAAAACATTTAGAACACTAATTAGAAAATTATTCAGTTCTCTAGAACTCATTTGTTTTCAAAAAACTATAAGTGTAAACAACGTTCTTATTATGAAATACAGTTCTAACTAGAATTTAATTTGTTTAGATTAATTTGTTTCATTTTGAATAAAAATTGTATGAATACATGCTGGACAATTTTATATCGTATGGTTTCTCGCATACCTGAAGAATGACTTCCTATATGGGCATTACAAAGTAATTAACTTGTGGAGAGACTCTACAGACATCAATAAATGGAAAAGAATAGAATTGTTCCAATTTTTTGAAGAGTGCAGTTACTCTTTGTTTTAAGATCTCTTTTATGGTCCCCAAATGAAAATTATTAAGCCCTACTTAATATTATTGCTTAATTTTGCAAGTTTCGTTTACAATCAATGGTTGTGCTTTTTGAACTTGAATAAGATTTCTTAAATAGTCGTAGAAACTTCAAAGATTTTGTGGTATTTTCTTATTTCTGAATGATAATATTGAATAAATAACAAAGGAGAAATAATTGTACGTTCGAAGACTAATTTCATCCATGAAAAGTTCTACTCTTCACAATTTATTACAAAATATTCTATCAAATAACAAATTGTTTCTGATTTATTTTCAAACTTTTGCAGCAATTACTGACTGCTATTGGTCAATTCATGACGAAAGAATGCTTAATATAATTTCTTTGAAATTGCAATAAAAGGAAATATTTTGTTTACATCGGTGAATATTAAATCTGTTTATTTTTTATTCCAGTAAAAAATGGATATGAAATATTTGCAATAAACAAAATAAATTATTCACCCAAATTTTACGATTTTCAAATTAATCATATATTTTCTCCATCGTATTGACACAATCAACGCCAATACATAAATCATCATGATTAAACTATTTGATATTATTGTTAGACATAGATCAGATACTACAATTTGTTTATAGTAATTTTGTAATAAGAAGAATTTAAAAAAAGAAAGTTTTAATCCAGAATAATTATTATAATAGATCCTTAAGATTGAAAAAATTGAATTTGAAAATTAAATTTTATGATTGCATCATTAAATGTTTTACAAAAAACATTAACAATACTTACTTTCACCACCATCACGAAACCATACATAAACGCGGAAGAGAAATAGAAGAATGGATAATCCGATAACAAATATCTGAATTTAAATATAATTCGTGATGGCTTACTTTTTTCAGCACATTCATCTCTTCCCTAATTTCGTGTGAGAAAATCATCGTCTTTAATCTTTTCAGTGTTATTGAGAATTAATGCATGTTGTTAGGCGGATTATTGAGAGTTTAACATAAGAAATCCAATTGCTTCTGAACGGAATCATTCACCACAGAAGATTTCTCTTATCACTAGGAAGTTCTAAATGTTGCGTATAATTTCAGGTTGAACTACGGAATGTGACATGAAGTTTCTATTCTTCCGATATATTCTGATATCATCGAAGGAAATGCTTCATGTATACTATCTAAGGTATGTCATATTTTATAGTTCTTTATTCCAATGCAAAATCAGTTTTCAACATAAGTTACATTAACACAACATTTGATGAGTGATGTGATTCGCCCATTGATAACGAAAACTGAATGGAGGAGGAGGCATTTTTATGGTCAAGAAGTTAAATTAAAGCAAATGTTAATTTTGAATTTGGATGCTATCAAGAAGTAAATTCCACTTTTTTAACTTCAAAATAACCAACTACGATTTCGATAATTTCAGACATAAATTTTACAATTAAAATTATAAATGGTATTATGAGGAGTGCCCATTGTTTTATTATAGCGAAAATTGTCGAAATTTCCACCGCAACCAAAATAATAATATATATCAAATTTGATATAGCATTGATTGTGAAGCCATGAGTGGTATATGTCTCAATAAACATTAAGGAAAGTGCCAGAATATATAAAAATTGCACTGCATACATTGCTGTCTCAAAAAAAGACATATTTGTTTTTGTTTTATTGAAGTTTAGAAGGTGAGGCGGTAATTGAAAGCTAATCATTATTAGAAGGAATTAATTACTCTAGTGATAATCTCATCACCTAGATTTAGTACTGATAGAATCTGGTCTGTGATAAGAATTTTTCTTCGAAAGTTTTACATACATATAGAAAAGAGGCTTTGGTATAATTTCGTAATCTTCCCAGATTTTTCATTTACAGAAAATAATTCATTTCTTAAGTAAATGTAAGGATTGAATATAATGAAAAATTCCAAAATTTAATTTCTTGCACAATTAGTGGGCAAATATTTAACATCAATACCAAATGTCGAAATGGACGATTTAAAGAATTCATTTCAGATATAACATAAAATAAAATTTTGCTGTAATTCCCGCTATAACAAATATTCCTTCCCATACAGTAATTTTTTTCTTTCTATGGGAATTCTCTTTTTAATTTTTTCAAGTTCATTTTTTTGTATGGAAATTTAAAATGGCAAATAATCATACAGTGATACGGCAGCATAAACATTTCTCATATCGAACCTTTTTAGCAATCAAGAGATAGCCGCCACCTGTGGATAGCTTTGAACTCTATAAGGATAAATTATAACTTAAAAATATAATATTTGTGCAAAATAGTTCTCCCTAAATAATTTAACTAATGAAGTAAACCATTTCAAGTTTTCGAAATCGACGATTTGCCTTAGAGAACGAAATGTGCACCACTGCTCAACATCAGTTCTTTCACAAACAATGGAAAAGGTGGGGCGTAATGTTATATTTGTACTACAATTTTTTTTAAGAGACATTGAAAGTTCTCTTAAGTTTCAAATGGAAATAAAATATATTTGAATTAATTTCGAAAAAACACATAAATCATAATTGCAAAAATCCCTCTATTTGGGATACATTGCTTAACTTATTAGTAATTGATGGATATGGTGCTTTACCGATCGGTATCTATACGAATAGAAAAAGCAACTTGGCCAGTTTGCAAGACGATATCATATTTGATTGCAAAAATGGCATGTTGGAGTTAAAGAGAGATGATTCAAATAACTTGATATTCTAAAGTATTTTATTTTTTATTTTTGAACTTGGATAAAATGAATGTATATGATTTGATGTTCTAGACCACCGAAAAAAACCTGGAAACTGTCAAAGCGCTTTTAATCAAGAAGTATATTTTTTAAGCTTCTGTAATAAATTTCGGAAGTTTTACGCAAGCAGCTTTTTCTTTCTCTAATCCACTTGTTCATTTTAGCTTTCGAGACTACAAATGATTCTTAATGAACAAATATTTGAAATTTGTAAGTGGAAATGATGTCTTCCAATGGCAATGAGAATGACATTTCTGTTATCTATTAACTTCTAGTATAAGTTCATATCAATTGTTTGACACATTAGCTAAGAATAAAATAATGAAGTTTACACGAGTACTCACATTGTCAATTGCCCTTGCAAATAAATTAAACTATCTTGTTCAAATCCAATCTGAACTTTGTCCTCGTTTAGGACTCAAATTAACTCTTAGCGATTTTCATTTGTAGTTTTCAATGAACATGAGATGACCTTCTTTGTAGTCTTATGGCATGATGAAAAAAATTTGTTCAGATTTAAATAAATTCTGTACTCATCGAAAGAAAGATAGCGATAGAATTTGATAATTAGGCGAAATGTTACAGTTAGAATTATAATTCCTTAAAAACACGTCATCTCATTAAAATGAAAATTTTTAAAGTTAGCATCTAATTAATTGGTGATTCGAAGCTTCAATTGTAAACGATTATTCAATAGATAATTATTGTATGTATTCACATGTTGCTGATTGGACAACTTCGGTTTTACCATTTTCTGTGAAAGTCCATTCAGAATTTTGATTGCAAGTGATTAAACCAATTACTTTTTGAGTGTGTTTAACCGCGCCAGTAGTTCCAAGACTTGAACCAGATGGATCATACCACTGTAATTGGTATAAATTTTATAACTTGGCAATTAGTGCAATTTATCTTTCCGATTCTCAACATCAATATGCAACTTATATTCGCATGCATGCATAACAGGATGACTTACCTCCATCAAAATGTCTTTTGCAGCGGAACTCAAGCACTGCAATGTTGCAAATTTGCATCCATCAGCATTTACTCCATATGATACTGTTATTTTTTCCACGAATGTATTAGGATAGTCCGTTCTTCTTATATTTGTGTCGAAGGGATCGCAGTTTCGACATGCTGCAAAATACTGTTTAGAAAATGACGCAGATCAATTTTTAGAATTAATGAAGTGCGAGAATAGCGGTTTAGGCCGCAGAAGATCGTTTTGTAATGCTTGTCTTTTAAAATTGCAAGTGTGCAAAAGTAAAAATTCGGTAGCAAATGTGATAAGATAATAAGATAAGTGAATGATTGATTAATAACTGTTGTTTAAAAAGAAATAAATGAAGTGATCGAAAGTAATGAAAATGGAACTTACTGGTATATGATGCAGATGGTTCACAAGCATGTAGGTTTATAACACCGATACCAGAAAATATCAGAATGATTTTTGCATTCATTTCTAATCACTGATAAATATCACGATTGAAGTGTAATTTGCTTCAATCTTCTAATTATCAGTCTAAAATCTTACCGATAAATGTCTTTCCAACTAGTCAAATGCTCACTGCCTTGCATGGAAGCAACAGCCAGCTAAAGTATTTGCCAAATATGCTGGAGACTTTAGCATTGAATTCTTAGAACGAGAAAAATATTGCAATGTTTCAGTTATTTTAAAAATTACAAAGGAGTTTTTGTATGAAGTTTGCTCTGGTAGAAAGCCGAAATTATGCAAGATTTTCTTGAGATGATGATGTTTAAAGATTGCGCAAGAATTTTCAAATAACAAAAAATATCTTTTTTTATAATTTAAAGAAAATTTGAACATATTACGTCATATTTAATAAATTAAAAATAACCGGAAAACCTGAATAGTTTGAAAGTGTACCAAAATTTGGTACAAAAGAATGTAATTCTTTGTTTCTAAATTAAATTTTTATGCTAAAATGATTGTAATTAAAACATTTCGATTAACTTCTTAAAAGAGTATGAGGTTGAAACTTCTTGAGAGTGAGAAGAACTATGCAATATGATATAATAATAATTTGGCATAAATGTCGGAGAAGAAATTATCTAAATTTGGAAATGATAAGGCTATGTGTGTTAAAATCACTTTAATGTGTGAATGAACGATTTTCATAAGGAAAAGAATTCGACGCGTTGTATAAATAAGAAAGTACGAAGGTGTATTTTCAACAGCATTTATTAAAGTAACACATTTTCTTTTTTCATTTTTTTTTCTTTGGAATTATAATAAAAATTGATAAACATATGTTGTTAAAATTATTTCAATGTGGAAGACAGATATCTTACAATCAAACAAAGTGATAGATACGCTTATGGAATGATTCAGGTTGCTCTTATTTTGTTGACAAATGTTATTCTTTCTTCAAATTATTTCTATCATCATATCATTCAAAAATGATTATTCGTAACTTATTACATCATATTTTCATACTTTCAAACTTTATGAATATTTTGAGAAATGTCAAGTGAATTGATAAAATATAATTAAAACAATCTAGTCATGATTTCACAAAATATTTGCCCAATGATTGCAAAGGTGGGCTTAATAAACGCTAAACGTTACTTTTTGTTTACTACTATTAAATTTTGAGCAAATATTTAATTCATAGTTAATTTTCAAATTCTCAATAAATTTTGTTTCGTTTTGATCACTTTAATCGGTATTATCGTTTCTGCTCATTTTAATCTGAATTGATAAAATCATCTTGGTACTTTGATAACAATTCGTCATTCTATTTGACATTTCATGGAATTATTATACTATCATTAATACTTCATAGTCTGCATGTCGTTTAATCTATGGATGATATTTTTACTATATTCTTCTAGTGAAGTACTGAAAAGATCCTTGAACTCTTGATCTTCACTGTGTAGTGCTCAGGAAAAAGATTCTGAGAAATAATCTTACTTCGAGAGGTAGTTCTTCTCTCAATTATTGTTCAACATCGAACATAGAGGAAAAATTGCTACACTTCTATTATGCTTAAATGATCATAGTAAGTTCACAAACGAAGATCGAAAATCAAACAAAAAGTGAATGCTTCAAACAACTTTTACATACCAATTTCCTCTGGCCATACATTCGACCTCTATAAGTAAGTATATCCAAATTCCTGAATCTTATGACCATAGTAATCAGTTCATGCAAAAATCGAGAGCGCAATTTGATGACGCAATAGTGTCCCACTTTGAAATGCACACGACAAATGAAAATTTCATGAAAAGTCTTTAGCTTTGATGCTAACTTTACACCTACTTTTCAGATCACTAGCAATTATTCTACAAGTTCCGCTCAGCTACCCCTAAATTATAAAAATGGAAAGTTATAAGGACTCCAAAAACGCCATAAATGAATAAAAGTCCCTGCGCCACATCAGAAAAAAATCGACGTTATTTTGCCCATCTCAAAGGAATTTGAGTTGGATAAGAATCCTAAAAAAAAGAAAATTGAAGCAAGGGGTCAAACCGCTCACCTTCCAAGCTCCTTTACCTTGCCTTAACGCCTGCCACCAAAACTGTTTATTTTTCAAAGAAAATTTCGCCCAGAAGCCCAACAATTCGTTTCATAGTCGTAATATTGCCCGAATTTTTCATTACTACTGTCACTGGCAATCATTTCTCTACATTTGCTCAAAATTTCTCAGTCCAAATTATAAAATCAATTTAATATGTAATGCTTTATCTCAATTTTCGTTTTGGTGTAAAATAAAATTTTGATGATCCAGCTTGATTCCGAAGTAAAACTATTACATGAACCAATCATAATTAAACTAACAGCAAAACCATCACTCCTTATCATCAAACACTTCGGCATTATTATCACTGATTACAAATAAAATCTGTCATAATTCAATCATATCAATAAAAAATAAAATTTAAATAATAATAGCGTCCAAATAAATGCATTATTATAATTGTTATGTGAACAGACATACCCGCTTATCATCCGTGGACAAGGATGTTAAAGTTATCACAAACTAGTTTGCTTTCAATTTTCAAAAATGAGACAATGAATTAATACGTATAACATCGTTTTCTGAATTAAATTAAGCTTTCAATTTATAATTCATTTTAGAAAAATGTGCGACAAATGACTATACTCAAAATTTAAAACAAACAAACCACTGAAGAAGGAGTAAAATGCATTCCCCCTGTCTCCTTCTAAACGTTCTTTGTGCAACAGATACAGATAAATTAACGTTCTTTGTGCAACAGATAATTATAAAATTACGCACACAAACCAACATGCAAAACAAAATATATATTTAAAAATATGGGAAATATACAAAAACAAAAAAGGATTACATCAAAATGCATGTTTGTAAACCCCGATAATGAATCACTTTCCATGCAAATATTTCAAAAATCATAAATTTTGAAGGTGAGTTCCAGTGCCAAAATTTTGGCAAAAATCTGGACAGAGGAAATTTTTACTATAAAATGATTACACAGAAATAACCATCTCTACAGTGCATACAAAAAAGAATCAAAATTTGCGACGGATGAATAGTGCAACCAATATCGCCAAGCACGCACCGACTTTCAGTCCCTCGAACAAATGAGATCTATTAAGAATCCTATTCTCGACACTTCGGGAGGATAAACTCAATCTTGAATTCATAAAATTACGAATTCATATGAAAATAATTGATGACTTAGACTTAGATCCATTTCTCTTAAAAACTAGATCCATTTCCCTTTACTTAGATCCACTTCTCTTAAAAAAATGCCCCGCTAAACGGATGTAAATGTTTTCTCTCTTCCTCCCCTCAACTTCTTTATTATCATAAAATAAGCAATAATAAAAAAGAATGCAAATGATTGCAGTTTTATTATTACAAAACCTGGATTTGTTCTTGCACTGTCAATCTTTATGTTCGATTTCCAATTTTCCTTTATCTTTATTGGTTTCGCTAAATATATTCACATGCTGAATATTCACATTGTAGATACATAAAAAATAAATTAAACATATTTTTCAAATCTGAAATTTTGAAAATGAAACCTGAACAATTTATCAAAAGAAACGTTTTTTCATTCAAACAGACAGAGAAGCAAATTTTTGTGCCACTGCTTGCCACTGAAGTTCACTGCTGCCAATGCCCTGCGCTGCTGTCAACGATGGCCAATGCTTTTTATGAATGGCGATGACCTGAAATTTTAAAGCAGAAAATGCCAAACTTAGTATTGTCTCAAATGTATGCTAAAATATCCTCACATTAGTTTCAATACAAACTTCCTTATGATCTATTTCAGAAGATTTTTTTTTCCATGGCTTTCCATCTTTAAACCGAAGTATTAATCAAGCTAACAAAAAATTACATCAGACACGATCACAATGCTTTAATGCCATACGAGAACTATTGAAGTGATCAGAAAAAGCAATGTTTAGGAAAAACAGAGGCGAAAATAAATAAATAAAATTCGTATGTAACAAAACCTTTTGTATTGTCTCTTGTGCACTTTGTTTGGGAAATGCATTCAAAGCTTCGTCGCTCAATTTTCCGGTCGTTTCAGGACTTTCACCACATAACGCCTGTAACACCAAGTGTTTTAACTGAGAAATTTAATTTCCAGAAATGAGACATTCTGCTACATGCTTCCAGAATTTACTAGATGACTGCATATTAAAATTGAATGAGCAACAATGCCTTTTAACAGAACAACGATCGAAAACTACCTTAACACATTCTTCAGCAGAATCTGATATAGTATGAAGATCGTAGCCACCTTCCAAGGCAAGTACAACACGTCCACCAGCATAATTCATAAGCTGTAGCGTGAAATAGCCAAACAATTGCGGCGATAAATTATACCTGTAAAAAGAAACAAAATGACTCAATAAAACAATTTGAATGGTATTTAACAAACTCCAGGAAGCCTTTCATTCAGACTAATTCATCACTTTCGTTTTTACAAATTTATTTTTTGCTAAAGAATCAGTGCCTGAATTCAGCCTTATGAAAAAGCCATACCCTCCAAGAGCTTGAGAATGTCCATATGCGGCATCGAAGCCAGCTGAAACAATGATGAATGTCGGTTTGAACTGATTTAATATAGGCGCAACAATAACACGCCATGCCGCTAAATAATCAGCATCATCCATCATTTCACCCGAAAATGGTATATTTACCGTATAACCTTTACCCAATCCAACACCTACCTAAAATAATTAGTTTTATATATTTGAATGCATCAAAAAATTGACCAAACTTTTCATTATCATTATAAAATAACATTTAACTACTGAATTGAAGTACTGAATTGAAAAATACATATGAAAAGTATTCCACTTTTGGATAAATCTAATCACTAACTTCAGTAACGGCTCCAGTACCCGGAAAAAAATTGCCATTATCATGACGATGAAGAGACAAATAAAGCACCGAAGGATCAGCTTCAAAGCAAATCTGCGTGCCATTGCCGTGATGAA